GGTGGCCCAGAGCCATGCAGTCTCGATTTTGGCTGCTGGATGGTGTGTTGGACTTTGCAGGGATGGATTTTCATACTAACTTCCAGCTGGCCTTGGGAACAGTTAAGGTAGTTTAAAGTCTTGACTCATTAACTGACAATGAAAGACTCAAGGTGGCAGGGAGGAACTTCTAGTCTGGTTTTAAAGGAGGACTTGAAATTCCTTAGACACCTGTGTTGTTGACACTTCTAACCCAGCCTACTCAAGCGCAGACGCACGCTCATGGAGAAGAGCAGCGCAGTACTGGAAGTCAGTGTAAAATCCCCACAGTCCATACATCCAACTGCAAAGTCTCCAACTGGAAGCCTGCTTGCCAAGCACTCGTTTACTGCAGGCATGACCCACGCCAAAGCCTGCAGAGCCCCATGGCTACTGCTTTTCTGCTTCCAACAGCCCACCCAGCTCAGAGCCCTCGGGACTAAGGGAGACTTTAAACCCCAGGGGCCAACAAGCTCTTTACCAGCAGGCTTGGTATTTGAGGTCAGTCAACACATCTCTGTTGGCACTGATGCAACGAGATGCTGATAAGTTGTTTTGCAATACTCGGGAGAGGAAAGGTACGCGGCACAAAATCTTGTAAAACAGGAGTGAGAGCAAGCGTGGTCATCAATATGTGTTAATTTGCTGATACTACGTATTGGCAGCAGCATAAAACAGCTCTGGAATGTCTCAGAGTTTGTGTCAATTAACCCTATTTTCTGCATACTAATTATTAAAGTTATTAAGTCACAAGGCCAAGTATGATGGACTGCGTCTAAGACGAACAGCCGTTTTCATACAGAAGAGTGTGGGGTCAGCAACGTTACCCACAATATACAAACTACACTGCTGACTGTGCCTTTTAATCCCAGGATCACCCGTGGCTCTACATGCTTTTGAGAACACCTTTGGTGTCAGAGGATGGATGGGGAGCTCTGAGCAAGAGTTAAGTGGGATCTGCACTGCCCCGTAACTAGCTGATGTTCATTTTTGCTCTTGGTGATGAAAAAAATAAAGAGTCTGGAAAGGATTTTTCTGATGCACCTCAATGGAACACCGACGCCAAGGTGGAGAAGAGGACCACACACATCCAAACCTGGGTGCAACCATAGCCCCCCAGCAGCCTCGTCCCTCCTCCTCCTCCTTACTCCCTCCTCCATACCCCATTTATTTGCCTTTTTCGCTGCTGTTCACACAGGTGCCTCCAACCACTTTTGTTTACATGACCTGTGGTGGCACGGCACCAGAACACAAGCATGAAGCTCACGCTTTGGAAAGCAGCAGTGCTCATTATCTCCCAGCTCACTGGTTTTACCTTGCTGGCTTTCAGGATGTTGATCTGTTCCTCGTGTACTGTGTCCCTGTTCTTCTCCAGAAATCCCTCGCTCTGGTATTCCACCTGGTAGGAGACAAAGGAAGAAGCCCAGAGGGTAATGTCCAACCACATAGCAACAAGGTGCTGTGTCCCACCGCTCCCCTGCTGTCAGGAGCTCACCTGAAAAATTCTTGAGAGGGAGAAGGGAGGGGAAAAGCTGGAACTTAAAGGTCTCTTTTTATCAAAGAAAGTGAATCTGAATGAAAACAAAATCCTTACTGCAAACGCAGATTGTTGCATAGTCATTAAACTGCTCTGTACAGGACCCAACTGCACTTCCATGGAAACCATGGGTAAAAATGCAAAGGTCATCAGTACCTCTACACGCTCTTTTGTTCCCTCCTGAAATCTTTGTAAGTTAATCAATAAACCTCAAAAGACGCCCTGGCTACATCTCTTGCAGGTCTCTTGGTTTTGAAATTGCAGAGGGTTGGGATGCAAATGAAGAACTTTGAGGGAAGAGGAAAAAAATCTATTTTTTTTTTTACATTTGAAGTTGGCTGAAACAACTGATCACAAAAAAAAAGGGGGGGGAACTAGGAAAAAGACACGTTTGTGAAGGATACATGTGCAAAATAACATGCCTAGGCAAGAAAAGTATCAACTTCTGCCATGAAAAGTGCCGTTCACATCCGGAGCAACCCTGGGTACGAGAAGGACCTCCTGTATGTGATCACAGCACCTGCCTGTTGCCTGGCTCCTCGGACACAATCCCAGATTGGTCTTAATGTTTTCCTTTCTAAGAAACATGCGCTTTGGATAACTGCAAAATTTTAAGATTCTCATTTGCTGCGAGCGATGCCTGTCACATCAGGGTTTCAGTGAACCTGGAGCCCATGGACGAGACCCTACAGCAACAGACACTGGGATTTAGAGTCCCACGTTGGCATCTTCTCCCTCAGAAGGGTGGGCTCAGCCCAGGGCCACCTCTCAGATGCTCCTCCCCACCGTGCCTTGCTGACGCTTGCAGCTCCTACTCTTCCAAAATAATTCCCCTTTCTGATACATTTTCAGTCAAGCTGCCCTAACAGAAATTAATTTTGCCGCAGCTTTGAGAAAGAGGATTTTTCTCTCACCTAGAAAGCACAACTACTTAAAGCTTAGTGCAATAGTTCAGAGGCTGAAGTCCTCCAAGCTGGTCTAGATTTGCGCACCAAACCAAGATTACTGACAATCAGGCACCCACATGCCCATAAAGCAGCTCCCTGGTTCTATAAACTAGTTTTCCTTCCTGAGGCTCTTTCTCCCCCTCTCCACATTTCCCATTTCTGTGTTCAAGTCCCAGCACACGTGACGTGCCCAGCTACCTTATCGGCGAAGTGCAGGACGATGAAGGAGGTGTTGGACATACGGGGCTTCTGGAAGTGCTGGCTGCTGGCATGCCGGTCGTAGAGCTTCTGTGCCCAGTTCTGGTCAGTGCCTTTGGGAACCTGGATGAGGAGAAAACGGACCAAAAAGTTGTGGTCAGGCATGCAAAAGAGGTGCAGGGACATTTTGGAGGAACTCCCCTTGTGGGTTTCCTGTAGTCCACATAGGCTACAGGAATATTTGAGAAGCAAAGTCCACCTCCCAGTTCTAGGAGCACGTGCTGCATACTTTCATGTATATTCTTGACATACACACTAAAATTTTGTTTCCAGTGAAAAACACTCAAATGCTGGTTCTGCTCCAACAGCCAGGACAGCTCTTGCAGGAAAAAAAAATTAAAGTAGTATTTTTGTACTTAAGTTACATTGATTACTGCTAAGAAATACTAGTTAATTAGCTTAAATCCGCAGGTTTTAAATACAAGGAATGGCTCAGAGTCAATCACCTAGTGTTAGGATGCAGAGGTCAGGGTATATACTCTGTGTCCAGCTTTACTAACTTAGCATCAGTAGCTAGAATTGCTGGAGCCGTAAGCCACAAGCTGTGAACTTCTCCTTCGACATGCTTTTAGCTGGAGTAGAGTTAATTTCCTTCTTTGCAGTTGGTACAGCGCTTTATTTTGGATTTAGTGTGAGAATAATGCTGATAACACTGATGTTTTGGCTGTTGCTGAGTAGGGTTTATCCTAGAAAAAGTCCAGGACTTTTTCAGTGTTTCTCATATTCTGCTGGTGCCAAGTGCAGAAGCAGCATATATCAGAAGATGAGGGGGCTACAACCAACAGCAGAAGCTGCAACTCGGTTAAGACAAGAATGGCTAACGGCCTGCCCACCTGAGAGACAGAGAGAATCATGGAATGGTTTGGGTTGGAAAAGACCTCAAAGATCATCCAGTTCCAACCCCCCTGCCATGGGCAGGGACACCCTCCCCTACACCAGGTTGCCCAAAGCCTCATCCAATCTGGCCTTGAACACTGCCAGGGATGGGGCAGCCTCAGCTTCTCTCGACAAAATGGTCCAGTGCCTCACCACCCTCTGAGTGTAGAATTTCTCCCTTATATCTAATCGAAATCTCCCCTCTTTCAGTTTAAATCCATTGCCCCGTGTCCTGTCACTACACACCCTTGGAAAAAGCCCCTCTCCAGCTTTCCTGTAGCCCCTTTAGGTACTGGAAGGCTGCTGGAAGGCCTCCCGGAGCCTTCTCTTCTCCAGGCTGAACAGCCCCAACTCTCTCAGCCTGTCTCCATAGCAGAGGTGCTCCAGCCCTCGGATCATCTTCGTGGCCTCCTCTGGACCCGCTCCAGCAGCTCCATGTCCTTCTTGTGCTGGGTACCCCCGAGCTGAACGCAGTATTCCAGGTGGGGTCTCAGGAGAGCAGAGCAGAGGGGCAGAATCCCCTCCCTCCACCTGCTGCCCACGCTGCTTTGGATGCAGCCCAGGACACGGTTGGCTTTCTGGGCTGCCAGCGCACAGTGCAGCTCATGGTGAGCTTCTCATCAACCAGCACTCCCAAGTCCTTCTCCTCAGGGAGAATCCAATAAAGTATTAGGAGACCCCAGACCAGAAATCAACATTGGACCAAAAGAGTGTGTGAAGCACGCATGAGAAGCGGATGCAGAGGTATAGGGGGTAAAATTGTCCAGGGAGCTCTTTGTTTGGGATCCCTTCCTGGAGGCATCCAGCTCAAGCAGACCCTGCTGTTGTACCAGTCTATTAGTTTTTAGAAAATCTGATGCCTGAGATGTCTTCCACAGGAAACCTAGGCTTGAACCTGAAGGAAGAAGCAGCACCCAAGACTGAGAGAGTGCGTGTGCGTGCAAAGAGCTGGAAGGGGCACCCGTTGGCTTCCTGGAGTCGCCCGCTGCGGAGAGGCTTCGGTCCTCGCAGTTAAAGTCTCAGGTGGTATGAGACTGACTCCTTGAACAACTGTGTGAATGCTCAGGCAGCAGTTTCTCCTTTAACATTGCTCAGGCATCAACGTTGCTTTTTTTAAACGCAATTTTTGGTGACCAAATAATTTTACAAAGTACCACCTGAGACAACAAAGCAAGAGGTTCTATTTGTTTTAAAATGACAGTGATAAAATAATTTAAAAATATTAAAATAATAAGAAAATTATAATTTTTAAGAAACTTCTGCTTCTCAGCAGGTTTGGGGTGGGGTCACTTGGATCCCAACCTCCATTGCACACATGGCTGGGACGTCAGACTCACATATCTGTCCTACCACAGTCAAATGATTCCCATGTCCCCTTCCTACACATCCAACCCCCTGTACTATGAATCTCCTGGACATCAAACCACCCTTCTGCATCCTATTTACACTGAAATCAAGGTGCAAGTCCTACGTGGACCTGCCCTTGAAAGAATTTGGCCATAGTGCACCAAGATACCAGGTGTTGCCCAAGACGTTGCTTTGACAGGATGGGGCAGAGAATGGAGAAATTCCTCAACAACTGTAATGGCTAAAAAAACACCCCAAAACCAACAACTCACAGCACCACTTGTGCAGCAAGGGAATGGGCTACTTTTCACAAATCAGCAGTTACAAGGAGGGTTTGAGCTTCCCTTCCTACTCAGCACCTGCAGTTTTTACCCACTAAACCATTGTAAATGTAACTTAATGTGATGATATATTGACAACATCAGGAGGAAAAAAAAAAATCTGTTCTGTTTCATTATTTTGTAAGCATATATAGCTGTATAGTAGCATATGACAATGTAACTTCTGATACTCTCATGATTACAATTCCCATAAAGACTCATTTTTTTAAGGTATGTTTAGGTCTCTCTCTTCTAACTGGCCAAAACCCTCAAAGCTTTCCAAAAGACATAAAGGTGTAGGAGGAAAGCACCATGGCTGTAAATATCCATTATTGTGTATTTTTCCAGTGCAACAAGTTTGCCACAAAGCAAAATTCTTGAAAACCAAAGGAAACAAGGAGCGAAGTTTCTACACTTGAAGGCTGAGGACCACAGCTGATGGGGTTTGTCCCCATCCCTCCTGCCTGCCTGGCAAGGACACGAAAAGGCTGGTGGACTCTCCACCACTGGCCAACAGGGCAGCAATGGTTGCACATACCTACACACACAATTTTTAACAAAAAATGGCTGACTGGATTATTTAGGTTAGAGAAAGAGAAGAGTCAGAAGAAAAGTGTTAAGTGATATTTAAAATTAGATGGGACAGAGCCCAGAAACAACAGAAGAACTGTGCAATATGAGGGAAAGCTCTGGATCATCCATCAGGTCTTTACATAGACTTTTGTATGAAAAGCAATAGAGGAAACAAAGGCAGCAAACAACAAGAGGAAAACTTGAGACAGATGAGGAGTATTTCTTTATGGATGCTCTGAAACAGCCTTTGATTTCACGGCAGCAAGTCAAAACACGCCCGAGGGGTTCTGGACACAGGGATGTTCAGCTCCTGCCTGTCCCTGTTAAGTGGAAGAGGCAGCTGAATTCAATGCAGCAGCCACTCATGCAAGCTGTGCTAACCCAGAAGTGGTTTGTATTTTATAGTTGCAGGCATAGCCAATTACAGATATGCATAGAAATAATGTAGATTATCTATAAATACCAAAAGGTATTTATTTATGCCATTACATTCACAATGTATGCCATTTAAAAAAGATTTTAAAAAGTAATTTATCTTTATTTATGAAAGATGGACATGTGTATTTAAACTATAGGGCTACCTAAATGAACATTGGGGTTTTTTTTTACATATAAATATGAAATATAACTGATGAAACCACCATCTCTGAAGCGATCGTTAGGTCTCTCCTGCTCAGGACCAAACCGTGGGTGCAGAGCAGGAGCACTGCAGTCACCTGAGCTGCCCGACGCTGCAGAGAGCAGATTTATCCTGCACCAGCTCTCTTTTAGGCCATCCACTTGCTGAAAAAACTGCACATCTCAGAGTTGAACTTCAAAGGCATCACTCCTGCCTCTCAGAAAGCCGCTTTTGCCGTACTCACACCGTGCACCGCTCACCATTGTGCAGCCCGGGTGTTTTTAGGTGCCTGAGAAGCATCTGATAGGGACCAAGTCCTGGAGATGAAAATTAGCAGGGCCGTTATCTGAACTATTAACGGCTTTTGGTATTGTCCTGGCAGTTTAAAGTCTTAAAGTAACTGAGAAAGTTATTTAGAGATTATTTCGTCAGTGCAAGACTTTTTTACAGGACGGGGAAGAGGAAAGTCAACTGCCTTGCAAGTATTGCATGGAAGCCTCTAAACGGGAAAAAACTTCAGACCCGTAATTTCACAAGGCCCCAGCTTCTGCTCGTCTGTCCTCACTGTCCCTCCACCCGTCACTGCATAAAATCAGTCGGGTTGTGTAATCCCAGCCAGCATGACCTTCCGTCTCCATACACCATTCTCTGAGCTGCCAGGAGCTACTGCAATGAAAAGCTGATGAAGTTCAACAAGGCCAAGTGCAACGTCCTGCACGTGGGTCGGGGCAATCCCAAGCACAAGGAGAGGCTGGGCGGAGAATGGATTGAGAGCAGCCCTGAGGAGAAGGACTTGGGAGTGCTGGTGGATGAGAAGCTCAACATGAGCCGGCACCGTGCGCTGGCAGCCCAGAGAGCCAACTGTGTCCTGGGCTGCATCCAGAGCAGCGTGGGCAGCAGGGCGAGGGAGGGGATTCTGCCCCTCTGCTCTGCGCTCCTGAGACCCCACCTGGAATACTGCGTTCAGCTCTGGAGTCCCCAGAACAAGAAGGACATCGAGCTGCTGGAGCGGGTCCAGAAGAGGCCACGAAGATGATCCGAGGGCTGGAGCACCTCTGCTGTGGAGACAGGCTGAGAGAGTTGGGGCTGTTCAGCCTGGAGAAGAGAAGGCTCCGGGGTGATCTTCCAGCAGCCTTCCAGTACTTAAAGGGGGCCTACAGGAAAGCTGGAGAGGGACTTTTTACAAGGGCGTGTAGTGATAGGACACGGGGCAATGGCTTCAAACTGAAAGAGGGGAGATTTACATCAGATCTAAGGAAGAAATTCCTCACTCTGAGGGTGGTGAGGCACTGGAACAGGTTGCCCAGAGAAGCTGTGGCTGCCCCATC